CAGACACCTTGTATCGATGGGGCTTCTCGGTACAAGGACTTTACCAGACGTAGAACTCTCTTTGAACTACTTCCCAAATGCGGAACTATTTGATCCGCCAAAGGCCAAATGTGGATCTCTCTTGGATCCACCAAACATACGCGAATCACCTTTGACCCGCCAGACAAATGTCGAACTCAAATCTCGAGGTCACCAAATGAGAGTCCCACCAAACTGACGTCCACTGTCCCGCACCGAACCAGGCTTTGATACTACTTGTCATAACTGGGCAGCCCATTAGTACGATATTGTCCGCTTTGGGTCAAGCCCGCACGGTTTTACTCTTGGGTGTCTTCCCCAAAAAGCCTCGTACTAATGAGCTTGGTGGACACTAATATACAAGGGTTCCTTCCCTTGTATTTCCGATGTGGTACTTGGATTGCCATAACTTTGTCATAACCGGGGAGCTCAATTAGTACGATATTGCCCGCTTTGGGCCAAGCTCGCACGGTTTTACTCTTGGGTTCCTTCCCAAAAAGCCTCTTACTAATTGGACTAGGTGGACACTAATATACAAGGGTTCCTTCCCTTGTATTACCGATGTGGTACTTGGATTGTCCTCATAACAATCATCCCCTCAAGCCAAGGACCACGAACTTTGTGTCCTCTCCTCATCGATTATCTTGCTCCAGCGATTATCTTGATCCGCCAGACACCTTGTATCGATGAGCTTCTCGGTACAAGGACTTTACCAGACGCAGAACTATCTTTGATTCCGCCAAGCCAATGTGGATCTCTCATGGATCCACCAAACAAATGCGAATCACCTTTGACCCGTCAGACACACGCAGATCTCAAATTCCGAGGTCACCGAATGAGGGTATGATTCCTTCACTTGTATTACCGATATGGTACTTGAATTGTTCTCATAACACTTACTATACCTTAACTCACTCATGACTTCATCGTCTTCCTAACTCCATTTAAAAAAAAAAAAAAAAAACTGAAACTGAATTATTCCCCCCTGCTCGATCACAGTCATACTCCATTATGAATTACCCAATGTGTTCATCATATCGATTGGTGGTGGGATCGGCCACAAAGGGCAAGGCAGCTTTGGAACAAGATCATCATCATGTGTTGCTATCATCTTTCTGGTGCATGGAATCCCTGCCTCGTCGTTTTAGAACGAGACAAAAGGACAGCGCACGATTCGATACACAGGGGTTTTGTTCTTGGAGGGGAACAAAATATATACAACAATGGAAGAATGTTCTCTTCCCAATTTTCCCGTCAATCAATCATGGCACGTAATCTTGCCGATAGTACTGTATATAATGTTTTCCTTTTGGTTTTTGTTTTGCAGGCAACCATATTCGGTGATCACTGCAGTCTGCACAGCTAGCTGTTCTCTCTCTCTCTCTCATTTACCTTGTTGGCTGTTGCTATATACATACATGCAAAAGCTTGACATGATCATCTTTGATTTACTGGGGAAAGAGATTTCTGACATCGGAGTTGTAGCTCTTTGACGTACACGTACTAGTAAACACTATATGATCACCATAGAATTTTTTTTTCGAATCCTGATGACCCTCATTTGTTTCGGTTAAGCACATGGTGTTTGGATCTGTGCAAACTTCAAACCCATATATGGTGGCTTTCGTTTAAGGGTGGGTGTTAGTAAACGGTATATGATCCACGATTGAACATCTCCCAACAACTCGAGTGATTAGGACCAACTGGTTCTTGACATTTTATCAGAGTCTCCTGTGACCGAATGGTTTTGTACGTGTTCAAATCCTGGTAACCCCATTAGTAAACACATGGTGCCTGATGTCTGTGCAAACTTCAAACCTATATGAGTGACTTTCGTTCGAGGGGCCTGGTTCTTGACACGACGATCGATTCATAAGAGGTGTAGGTTCAAATAGATTTGTAGCCTCACGTGGACTTAGGCAGCATTGCGGTTTTGACACGGTGTGGGGGTTTATTGAATCTCCTGGATTCTTTGTCAGAAAACTATGAACATGATTAGTTTTGAGATGATGAACGGGCCCTCAAGACGTGAAATTTGAGCTTTTGAGGAAGAGGTTGATCTCCTAATTCAAATCTCCGCCGTTTAATCGTTTGATTAACAAGATGATATATGATTGATTTAATTTGTATAAATTTTAATCCCATGAAGTGCCGTTTTATGTGAAGAATATGTGTTAGAAAATGATACAAGTAACCTACTAGTCTAACATAAGAGAGAGTAAAGAGCCCATTGGACAACACAACAATTATGAATAGCTTTTTTAGCAACAGTACGCGACAATGTGGGGGCTGGCATAGATGGAGAGAGTACATTATATATGTGGTCAAATAAATAACTGAATTTCAATAAATAAAAATTAAATAATAACTCAAATACTGTGTAGTTATTGGTTTCTGGAGTTTTGTTGGAATATTAGAATGACAGGTAGATAGATAATCTGTTCGGTTTGACCCTCAGATTCACACTAAGCCCAATAAATCCAACGAGGTCAGGTCACGTACTGAGTCAAATCGAATATAATTAATGGGTCCGATAATATGTTTTATATATTATATATATATAACTGTATATTTGTCAATTATTGCTCCTGATGCATGTGACTGGACCATATAACCTCTACATATTTAATTCCTTCCACAGCTAGGATTAATCATTGGGTGCTAACTAGTTCAGCCGTTAATTATGGTTTTCCCCCTCAAATTTTGATGTAGTTGATTATGTAATTTACGTTCCGATTTTTTCTGTTTCGTAATATCGAACACTTACATGCATATATGTATTTCGACCATTTATTAAGAATAGTTCGAATCAGTGGCGGACCCAGAAATTTTTCATAGTGGTGTCCTCTTTTAAAAAATAAATTAAATAAAATGGAAAATAATTAATAAAAATAAAATTGTAAATATGAAAATACCTTAATCGTACAGGTTAAAAAAGTCCATGATATGTTTTCATATTCGAAAATAATTGTAGAATACACTTGGTGTCTATAGTGTTAAAAAAAAATTGTCTCTATATACACTACTAGACAATCATTCACGAACTTATCGCATATTCGATTTGTAAACTTGTTCTTGATGTAACCCAAAGCTGAAAGACTCTTTCAACACTTGTCGTACAATTATGAAATTAATACAAATTAAGTAAGGGTAGTTTGAAATTAGTTTAATTGTTAGGTTTCTAAAATAATTAGAGATAGGGAATGCCATTTTACTATTACACATTGTTCAAAATCGAACAACAAATGAGTTTAGCTCAACGGAAATTAAGTTTATTAATAATAATAGTGTTCTAGATTTGAATTATCCAACCTACCACTTATATTCCTATACACAAATGACAATAGGATAATCATTTTTCAAATTTAAGGGGTGTCTCTCACTATCAAATATTTTTTTTTTGTCCATAAATAAATTACCACAGGGGTTGGATAATCGTATTCCCAAAATTTACACCCTAAACCCTTGGGTCCGCCCCTGTCGTTTCGAATACTATTTCAACGGAATGATTTCATGGATGGCATTAGGCATATAGATGTGTGTAGATAATATTATTGCTGCAGCTATCTAGGCATGTGGCTTATCCTTACTTACTATTATAGTAATTCAAAACCAAAGTTGTGCCACATCAGCTCATGAAGAGCTCCCAGCATCCCAACGTCACTATAGGGAAAAAATTGAATTATTTAGCTTTAACAATTCATTAGTGAGAGATGATTTGTGTCCCTTTGCTATCCGGTGGAAATGCTCCCATTTTTAAGGAGATTAATTAGTGAGTTGCTTTATCTCCCTTTGCTGTCCAGCGGAAATGCTCCTATTTCCTCTCTCTATTCTTTTTGGCCGCAAGCAGGAATCCACACACAGAGAGCTCATAATACCCGAGAAACCATCGCCCGCTGAAGCCCGTAAGTCATATTGGCCGCAAGCAGGAATCCCAGACACAGAGAGCTCATAATACCCGAGAAACCATCGCCCGCTGAAGCCCGTAAGTAATCGATCGGTCCTTTCACTTTCCTTTTTTAATTAATCGTTCAATCTCGCCATCGATAGCGTAGCGCGACGGTCAATCGAGCTAATCCACTGCTCTATTGTGTAGTCCTTTTTTTCTATTGTTTCTTTTATCAAAATATTTCGCCGGCTGAATTACTCGGCGGCAGCCGGAGTTCGATGAGCTGAATATGGAGGATATCCGTCGAGTTACAGTGCGGAGACGAGCATGTGGTCTTAATTGTGTATTTTTCGATCCTGAATTTCGTGGTTCCTATTTTTGTGTGGTTGGTGCAGAAAACTCGATGGTAGGCGAAGCAAGCTAACCAAACAACAACATATTCTAATCTTCATAGCTTATTTAGCAACAATAGACCGGCTGGTATGTTCCTATAGCGCCCCTCGATTTCTATGTCGTGGTTTTTTCAAAATATATTTTGCAATGATATTTTTCGTTTATGTAGTATTGATTTTGGGATAATTCAATCTCATATTGTAGTTGTTCCAATTCTCACTGTTTTTTCATTTACGGAATGTTGCTTTTGGTCTATTTGAATTCCAAATTAAAGCTTGAATTCGGACCTAATTGTTTTTTTGCCAACTATTGTTACTGTTGATGCATCATACCCGGTTACTGAAGGGGGGCGTTGCAAGATAGAACCAATTGAGTCGTATAGAAGTTTGCCGCTTTCACAATTCCAATACTAATATTTGTAGTTAGTTTTGCTACAAAATTCCAAGTTAGATTGCATGGGTAAGCGGAAGATTGATGACGTGGATGACAATATAGTTCCTCGCACCTACAAAATTGCACGGACAATTGATACTGCGCGATGTTCGTGGGATTTCGATCGCGGTAGTTTCTTTTTCTCTATACTAATTAATTAATGTTTTTATGGGATCCTTTCTGTAGTCTAACTGCTCCTGATGTGTATGTAGCAAAAACTTATTTCCTGGCACAATCAAGGTCAACCAAGACCTTAATTGCCAAAATAGCAAGAATGAAACGACGGATCGTGCTATGTTCAAAAAGGATGGATGTACTAGCATTCCAGTACTTAATAGGTAACTAAAGTTATCTTAATTTTTGACTGGCATGTAATATGGTTTTTTTACGATTTCAAAAAACTAATTTACAATAAATATTACAGGTTGCAACTATTCACTATCTAAGCTAAATGCTAAAGCTGAACGCATGAATAGAAAGATCAAAATGATTGCTGCCAAAAAGAAAAAAAAGATATTTCCTACCACAATTGAGAAAGGTATATTGTTGATATGTATTGAATATGCGTATGATATACAATTATAGATATATTTTCTTTCTAGAGCTAATCCACTGCTCTATTGTGTAGTCCTTTTTTTCTATTGTTTCTTTTATCAAAATATTTCGCCGGCTGAATTACTCGGCGGCAGCCGGAGTTCGATGAGCTGAATATGGAGGATATCCGTCGAGTTACAGTGCGGAGACGAGCATGTGGTCTTAATTGTGTATTTTTCGATCCTGAATTTCGTGGTTCCAATTTTTGTGTGGTTGGTGCAGAAAACTCGATGGTAGGCGAAGCAAGCTAACCAAACAACAACATATTCTAATCTTCATAGCTTATTTAGCAACAATAGACCGGCTGGTATGTTCCTATAGCGCCCCTCGATTTCTATGTCGTGGTTTTTTCAAAATATATTTTGCAATGATATTTTTCGTTTATGTAGTATTGATTTTGGGATAATTCAATCTCATATTGTAGTTGTTCCAATTCTCACTGTTTTTTCATTTACGGAATGTTGCTTTTGGTCTATTTGAATTCCAAATTAAAGCTTGAATTCGGACCTAATTGTTTTTTTGCCAACTATTGTTACTGTTGATGCATCATACCCGGTTACTGAAGGGGGGCGTTGCAAGATAGAACCAATTGAGTCGTATAGAAGTTTGCCGCTTTCACAATTCCAATACTAATATTTGTAGTTAGTTTTGCTACAAAATTCCAAGTTAGATTGCATGGGTAAGCGGAAGATTGATGACGTGGATGACAATATAGTTCCTCGCACCTACAAAATTGCACGGACAATTGATACTGCGCGATGTTCGTGGGATTTCGATCGCGGTAGTTTCTTTTTCTCTATACTAATTAATTAATGTTTTTATGGGATCCTTTCTGTAGTCTAACTGCTCCTGATGTGTATGTAGCAAAAACTTATTTCCTGGCACAATCAAGGTCAACCAAGACCTTAATTGCCAAAATAGCAAGAATGAAACGACGGATCGTGCTATGTTCAAAAAGGATGGATGTACTAGCATTCCAGTACTTAATAGGTAACTAAAGTTATCTTAATTTTTGACTGGCATGTAATATGGTTTTTTTACGATTTCAAAAAACTAATTTACAATAAATATTACAGGTTGCAACTATTCACTATCTAAGCTAAATGCTAAAGCTGAACGCATGAATAGAAAGATCAAAATGATTGCTGCCAAAAAGAAAAAAAAGATATTTCCTACCACAATTGAGAAAGGTATATTGTTGATATGTATTGAATATGCGTATGATATACAATTATAGATATATTTTCTTTCTAATTAACGTTATCTTTTATGTACATAGGTTCGAAGCATGTCGACTGCTTTTCTCTTGGCCCTCCTTCGAGCGTATGCCAATACTGTGCAGCTGTTATGTGGAAAGAGGAAAGTACATCTCCGTCTCTAAAGTCAGAGTTTTCAATTTGTGTCCTTTGTTGCAAGAAAGGCAAAGTGAAACTCCCCCCGGCTTGAGAACCTCCTTAATTCTTAAGAGATTTATTGCAGACAAACAGTGGAGTTGCCTGACACTTTCGTGATTGTATCAGGATGTATAATGGTGTCTTCTGCTTTAGCTCAATGGGTGGAAAGATTGATCACGCTTTGAATAATGGACGTGGCGTCTATGTATTTTCTATTGGAGGCCAAATTTATCATCAAATTGGCAGTCTGTTACCCCCAGTAGGATCCAGTGCGAAGTTTGCTCAATTGTACATTCATCAAACTGAGACAGAAGCTGAGAATCGTCTCCAAGCAATTGGTACAAATAACAATTCCACATCTCTGCGCAGAGATATTGTGGCCTCTTTGCAAGAATTGTTCGACGAGCACAATATTTTGGTCCAAACATTCCGGTATGCAAAAGACAGGATCAATGATGATAGTGTACAACATTTGAAGGTTAAACTTATTGCCAATCGGCGATCAGATGGTCGGGAATATGATCTTCCTACAGGAAATGAGGTTGCAGCTCTTATTGTGAACGATCCCGGCCAAACATCTTATGAACAAGATATTATTGTTGAGCACCAGACCACTGAACTTCAAAGAATTAGTATCTACCATCCTAGCTTAATGGCATTGCAGTATCCATTGCTCTTCCCTTACGGAGAAGATGGTTGGCGCAAAGATATTTATTTATGTGGTGAAGAAGGATTCGAGGATGCAAACGAAAAGTTTCTAACGCAGTGTGATTTTTATGCGTATAGGATTCAAACAAGGCTTCATGAAGGGCACACATTATTATTATCTGAAAAACTATTCCAGCAATATGTGGTCAATGCCTATGCTTTAGTGGAAGCTGAGCGTTTGGATTGGATTAGGAATAACCAACGCAAACTGAGGACAAACTACTTGAATGGTTTGATGGATGCATTTTTTCAAGGAGATATTAGTACCGAAACCACAGGGAAGCATGTCATTCTAAGCTCTTCGCATACAGGTAGCCCAAGGTACAGGTATGAGAATTACCAAGATGCTATGGCCATATGTCGAGCAATGGGATATCCAGATTTATTCGTGACTTTTACATGCAACGCAAACTGGCCAGAAATTCAATTCATGATCGATTTGGTGAAAGCATCCGGAAGAAAAGACACTCATAGAGCAGACATCATTGCAAGAGTTTTCAAGTTAAAGTTGGATCAACTCTTGCATGAGATCAACAACAACAAAATATTTGGACACACTTGCGCACGTGAGTTTCCTTTACTACATTTTTTCCCCCAATCGTCTTATATCTAAAACATTGATCACGTTTTGTATTATTCTAATTTGTAGTTGTCCAAGTCATAGAGTTCCAAAAGCGAGGACTTCCACATGCACATCTATTAATTTTCTTGGCCCAGCAAGACAAACTGAATGGGGTAGCCGATATTGATTCAATTATACAAGCCGAGATTCCGGATATCGACACCGACCCTGAATGTTACTATGCTGTGACTAAATTCATGATTCATGGGCCGTGCGGAAATGCTTTCCCAAAAGCAAGTTGTACATCTGCTGGAAAGTGTTCTAAGCATTTCCCCAAAAAATATTGCTCTCAAACAACAATAGATGATGATGGATTTGCAAGGTATCGTCGGAGAGAAGATGGTCGATTCATAGTTCGAAATGGTGTGCAACTTGACAACCGTTTCGTGGTTTCCTACAATCGTTACCTCCTCTTGCGATTCCAAGCCCATATCAACGTCGAATTTTGCAATAAGAATCGGTTAGTTTAACTTTTTAATTCTATATAAAAGTTTCTTCTATGTTCATTATTGTTCCATGTACATTTGCCTCATTTGTTCCTTTTATTCTTATGTGCGTAGTGTATTTGTGTTAGTAATAGTCGATTCTCTTATAAATTAAAAAAAATTTGTCAAATAATGAAAACGACAAAGACCACACATTTTGAAATATATTTCTTTCTAGAATTACTTAATCTTCTTTGACCTTGATTTCTTTAATGGTTAGTGGGGTTTTTTACACATTTAAAAATGTAGATGATATATATATATAGGAATGTAGATGCGATATTTTTTCAAAGAATATGATCTTTTTTATGTGTTTGTGATAAATTCAATTTAAAATGATTAATTTAATAATTTTGTGATAATTTTGCTCACTTAATTTGTTTTGTATGAAAATATTTCAACTAATTTTGATATTATTTCGACGGGAAATTTTTATTTTGGACAAATTCAAATTTTAACTTATGGAAGTACTTAATCTTCTTTGACCTTGATTTCTTTAATGGTTAGTGGGATTTTTTACACATTAAAAGATGTAGATGATAAATGAAGATGCGATATTTCTTCAAAGAATATGATATTTTTTATGTGTTTGTGATAAATTCAATTTAAAATAATTAATCTAATAATTTTGGGATAATTTTGCTCACTTATTTTGTTGTGTATGAAAATATCTCAACTAAGTTTGTTATTATTTAGACGGGAAAAATTTTATTTGGGAAAGTACATTTCTAACTTAGCCTAATCAAATGTTTGCAGATCTATTAAATATCTCTTCAAGTACATAAACAAGCCACCAGACAGAGCAAGGGCAACAATTGTTGAGGAAAGAGCAAAACATGATTCAGAAATTCAAAAAACTGAAGTCCCTTTGGATCTAGATGAAATTAAGGCCTTCCTTGATTGCCGCTATTTAGCAGCTGCTGAAGCCTGCTGGAGAATCTTCAAATTTGATATTCATTATCATTACCCAGCAGTTTTAAGAATGAGATTTCACCTACCAGGGGAGCAATTACTTATTTATGAGGAGGACAAACCAGTAGAAGAGGTACTTTCCTCTGAAGCGGCAACAAGGACAATGCTATTAGCATGGATGGAAATGAATATAATAGATCCTGAGGCAAGAAATTACACCTTCATTCAGTTCCCACAATTTTATGTCTGGGACCAAAGAACTAGAACTTGGAGGTCTAGAAAGAACAAAACATGCATTGGGAGATTGTACTATGCACATCCATCCTCAGGTGAGAGGTACTATCTTCGATTACTTTTACATATCGTCAAAGGGTGTAAAAGTTTCGAAGAAATTCGAACGGTGAATGGGATTGTGTATGAGAAATTTAAGGAGGCATGTTATGCAATGGGTTTCTTGGCCAAAGATGATGAATGGCACGATTGCTTGAAGGAGGTCTCACAATGGGCTTCAGGGACCAAAATGAGGAGGATATTTGTGACGATGGTGGCGTATTCACAAGTATCAAACGTCAAGGAATTGTGGGAGAAGAACTGGGAGTTGCTCAGTGATGATATCCAACACTATCAGCGCAGCTTGCTCAATCGACCAGAACTACATTTATCACCAGATGAAACAAAAGAGTTGTGTCTCATTGAATTAGAGAAGCTATTCCACAAGATTGGAAAGTCAATGGTTGATATTCCAGGTATGCCAATTCCCAACTGCAATACGTTTGATAGAGCAAATCGATTACTAGCGGAAGAATTAAGCTACAACAGGAGTTCTATGAGTACAGAATTTGAGAAGAACTTCCCTAAGCTAAATCATGATCAACGTGTTGCATATGACCAGATAATGGAGTCTATTAATACAAATAATGGAAAATGCTTTTTCGTAGAAGGATTTGGTGGATCGGGTAAAACTTTTCTTTGGAAAGTGATTAGTGCCAAGCTAAGATCTGAAGGGCGGATAGTGCTTTGTGTGGCTACTTCTGGAATAGCAGCTTTGCTCATGGACGGAGGAAGAACAACACATTCGAGGTTTCGTATTCCTATTAAGTTGAATCCAACATCAACCTGTGACATTTATCAAGGCTCTGATGTTGCAGATCTCCTTCAAAATGCTTCTTTGATAATCTGGGATGAAGCACCCATGGCCCACAGGAATGCAATTGAGGCATTGGAACGCACTTTGAGAGATATCATGAGAAAGCACAACAAAAACAATCTTACCAAGCCATTTGGAGGAATGACAGTTGTATTTGGGGGTGACTTCAGGCAGACGTTGCCAATCATAAAGAAAGGAAGTAGGGCCGATATTGTCGATGCATCTTTGAAAATGTCATATGTCTGGCAAGATCTGGAAATATTGAAGCTCACAGAAAATTTGAGACTGCGACAACCTAATTCTTCAGAAACTGAGCTAAATGATATCGCAGATTTCAGTAAATGGATCCTACAAATTGGCGATGGCGAAGACTGTTCAGTTTTTGGCGAAGCTAATATTGATATTCCAAGTGAATTGATGGTGGAACGTCAAGGAGAACCTATTATTGACATTGTCAGAGAGATATATCCACATCTCGAATGCAATTATGTGAACCCAGAATATTTGGCAAGTAGAGCTATTTTAGCTCCTCACCACGAAATGGTGCACAAATTGAATGAGTATGTTCTATCACAGATCCCAGGTGAAGAGATCACATATCTCAGTTCTGATTATGTTCAGAATGAGAATGGGAAGCAAAATATAGAGCACCCAGAATTCCCAGCAGAGTTGCTAAATTCCTTGCAAATACCTGGCTTCCCAGATCATGAAATCAAGTTGAAGCTTGGAGTTCCAGTGATTCTATTAAGGAATATTGATCAGGCATCTGGGCTATGTAATGGGACACGTCTGATTATCAAAAAAATGGGCAAATGGTTCATTGAAGCTGAAGTTATTACCGGGACTCATATCGGGGACATGGTCTTCTTACCTCGCATGACTCTTGCCACAGAATATCCGAGTCTTAATATTACACTATCAAGAAGGCAATTCCCAATTGCATTGTGCTACGCAATGACAATCAACAAAAGTCAAGGCCAATCACTACAAAGGGTAGGACTCTGTTTGCAACAACAAGTCTTTAGCCATGGGCAACTTTATGTTGCTTTGTCACGAGTCACTACAACAAAAGGTTTGAAGAT